TACCTCATGTAAGAACGTGGGCCCTGGAGTCATCTCCATCCTGTGTTTGAATCCTGGCTGTGACTCTTAGTAGCTCTGTGACCTTGGGCAAGTAACTTAACCCTTTTGATCCTCAGCTTTGTCATCTGTAACATGGGCACGCTGCTCACTTCAAAGAGATGTCGAAGGAATTAAATGAGATAACAAATGCAAAGCACCAGCCCAATGCCCAACACAAGGAAGACATTGGGTCATTCTCCCTTCTCTGCCTTCAGTCTGACCCTGCTTTTACTGTCAAAGGATAATGTCCATTCCAATCAGTCTGAGGTCTTAGTTCCTTTACTTTGTAATGATTTCACCAAATTTCACTCATCTTAACCTTTCAGTGGAGCACACATATATACTGAGAAGTACTTAGATCATAAGTATATGATAACAATATATACATTTTCATGAGTTGAACATACCCGTGTAAGGAGCACGGAAATCAAGAAACAAAACATGTCATCCCTCCCCTGCCAAAAACCCTCCAGCCACTTCCTTCCAAAGAGTAACCACTATCCTAAATTCTAATGCACTAAGTTAGTTTTGCCGGTTTGTGCTCTTATATTGAAAATACAGTATATCCTTATATGTGTCTGCTTTCTTTCATTCAAAATTGTTTTGTGAGATTTATCCATATTGTCATATGCACTTGTAGTTGGTTTTTTCTCATTGCTGTATCATCGTATTCTATTGTATGAATACCATAATCTGTCTCTTCTAATGATCAGTCAAAGGATGTCAGCAAGCAGAGATAATGGGTAATAAAAGCCCGTCTCCAAAGCCAGAAGATTCCAAGTAGTGATAGCAGGTGATGCTGAATCACACCGGACAATGTGATGGCCTGACCTATGGCACTGATTTAACTGACCGCTGCTCATGCCTTTCAGATCGATGAAGTCACATAATCTTCCCTGAACTTCAATGCCCAGGAATCAAAGAAACCAATTTCAGCTTCCCCATCCTCAACAGCCGCAGACACGCTTTATTCAGAAGTAAAAAAAGAAATAAGTAACGCAATCTGCCCTGCTCACTGCACTGCTGAATTATTCCAAGCTTCTCATCTCCATCCCTAGGAGATCCCTTTACTCTCAGGAAAAAGAAGAGCCTCTTTTCCCCCTTTCCACCCTCATGAGGCACCTTGAGGCAGCCGCTCCCTTCCATGTCAACAGAAGAAAAGGTACACAGGGAAGTCTGAAGGAAACCCAATCTTCCTTGTCATTGAAATGTGGCTGGTTAATATGTAGAAGCAACAAAGTCTAGAGATGGTTTGAAAAGCAAACTTCTGGCACGATTATTAAGAAAAAAATGAGAACAGGCACAATATGCAATATTAGGAGTAAAAACAGAAACAATGACAGACAACAGACAGTAGAGAGATATTACATGCATCTCTATTGCAAATATTTGAAAAAAATAGAAGGAATGAATAGCTAGAAAAATAAAATGAATTGAGAACTGACTCAAGAAGGGAGAAAGGCATGAGTGGCCCTCTTAACCAATACAGAAATTGAGTTAGTATTTTTGAATCTTCCAACAAAGGATACACAAAATCTAGATAATTTGACAATTTGACAGGGAGTTTCCAAATATTCAAGGAACAATTCATTCTAATCTTACACATACTCTTACCAAAATAGAAAAGAGAGAATACTTCCCCAGCTCTTATGAGGCTAGTATAATATTGACCCCCTTCCCCAAACCAGAACAAACTCAGAAAGGAAAATGAACAGGCTAACATCAGCATATACAAACATCCTACAGGATATATGTATATGTAACCACACTCCAGCAATGATTAAAAAAGATACTATGCATGAAATATGGGTTTATTTCAGGAATACAGTGAGTTTAACTAGATATTCAGTGTAATTTATGCTATTAATGGTGTAAAGGAGGAAAATCATACATTCTCAAAAGACAAAAAAAACTCCACCTAAAATTCAGCCTCAATTTATGTTAAACACTCAGTAAACCAGAAATAAAAGGAGCTTCCTAAACCTGATAGAGTATCATAAGGAGACTCGATGACATTGCTTTATAATAGCAAATGTACTTTTTAAACATAATATTTGTAATAGCAATCTAGGAATAAACAAAGACCTTTATGTGCAAGGCCTTTATATAGAAAAACATGAAACTTGACTGACGTTCAGCAATAACTAACAGATGATAAGTAACAAAATAGATGATGAAAATATCCATTCTTCCCAAATGATCAATAGAATTTATGATTCCCTGATCAAATCCTAGATTTTTCTTTTAACTTGACAAACTAGTTCTCAAATTAGTGTAACAAAGGGTCCTGAAGAAGAGTCACAAGTTGGCAACTGCCCTGCCAGATGGGA